GCATTAGTTCCTATGGGAACTAATGCTTCAATGTACGAACGCACCTCTACATAACAAAAAAACAGCCAGAACGGATTAATTGGTTTTCAGTCCATTCCTATGGGAAATTTTGCTTCAACTTAAGAACGTTTCAACTTAAGAACACCATTCCAAAACGGATTAAGTTCTTAAGTAGAGGTTCCACTGTAATGCAAAGCACAAGAAAATACATAGCAATACAGAGAGTACTGTAGTTTCTATGGACGGAAAAGAACAGATACGGATTAAATGATTTTCAATGCATTCCTATGGGAAATGCAGATTCAACATAAGAACTTTTCAACTTGAGAACCGTCTTCCAATACGGATTAAGTTCTTAAGTAGAGACCCCACTGTACTCTATTCGAAGGTAGCCTGCTTCGGCAGGGTAATATAAATATATCCAATGCATTTCTAGATTCAAAGTTGGACTCCTTTTACTTATACCACTATATATGTTTTTTTAAAAATTAAAATAAAAAAAATCAATTGAGAGAATAGTTACACTATTTGAAGGTAGCCTGCTTCGGCGGGGTAATATAAATCTATCCGATGCATTTCTAGATTCAAAGATGGACTCCTTTTACTTATACCACTATATATATTTTTGGTTGTTGTTTGAGCCTCTTGGTTTCTGAATCCATCTTAGGTCTGTTTGATTATTATTCGTTTTTAGCTCAGTGGTTTTCTGGAGAAACATGATGGCCTGTCTGTCTGCATTTTGCAGGTCCCCTCGGAATCCTCCTCCAGGGCGCTCAGCCCCCTCTCCTCCGCAGCCCTTGGGAGTCCCGCTTTTCCAGGCCCCCACTTGCTTCCAGTCGACTTCGACAGCCCGGCCACGCCGCTCGGCTGCCTGGATACCTCGGCGGCCCGGCATAGGATTGCCATGAATCCGCGGAAGCAGAAGGCCTTCGCCGGCAAAACTCAGAATCTTCTTGTAAGTGACTCCTCAAGGATGGTGTGTTTTTTTGCAGACCAAGATTCTCCCTTAGAAGCCTGTGGGGAGCCTCTCTCCCCTGCAGTTTGGTGTACGACTTTTACTGCTGTGTCTGAATCTCACAGAGTCCTGGCCTTTGTCGCTGGGTGGACGGCTTAGAATTCTTCGTGGCCCTTCGGGGAACGAAGTAGAGCTTTGTAGAGGAGGATTCAGAGTCCAAATATTTTGTAGAATGGACCCATGATCGTTAAAGCGATGATCAAACTACTGTACTTGTGTTGTTTAGACAGAAGTATACCCAATTTGCTGCCATCTTCAGATGAGGTTCTGCTCCATGACCAGGTCTGGTCTGTGTAAAATGGTAGAACCCTCGAGACCTAAAGAGGGTTGTACCAGACATTGGGTGGGAGAACCAACACCTAGAAAAGTTTCTTTGCATAAAAACAAAGGGGAGACATCAGTTGGAAACCGCAGTTCTTGCTGTGCTAGTTTTTGGTTAGCTGCTCATTCCTCTACGGGCAAAGGTTCACGTGTCGTTGCTGCCATCCGAAGTAGCCCTTGTACCACCTCAGGGTTGGACAACGTCCTTCCACACGGTGTGTGGAACACAGAAATATAAGAACGAGGGGTGGACGGAATTCTTCGTGGTCCTTCGGGGAACGAAGTACAGCTTTGTAGAGGAGGATTCAGAGTCCAAATATTTCGTAGAATGGACCCATGATCTTTAAAGCGATGATCAAACTACTGTACTTGTGTTATTTAGACAGAAGTATACCCAATTCGCTGCCATCTTCAGACGAGGTTCTGCTTCATGACCAGGTCTGGTCTGTGTAAAATGGTAGAACCCTCGAGACCTAAAGAGGGTTGTACCAGACATTGGGTGGGAGAACCAACACCTAGAAAAGTTTCTTTGCATAAAAACAAAGGGGAGACATCAGTTGGAAACCGCAGTTCTTGCTGTGCTAGTTTTTGGTTAGCTGCTCATTCCTCTACGGGCAAAGGTTCACGTGTCGTTGCTGCCATCCGAAGTAGCCCTTGTACCACCTCAGGGTTGGACAACGTCCTTCCACACGGTGTGTGGAACACAGAAATATAAGAACGAGACCTGTGGAGGAGATCTTGGGGTGGCCGAAGTGGTCCAGCATTCTTCTCCAACAGTCAGAAAGGCCCCAAGATATTTGGTTGCCTGAAACCTGCGGCAGTTGTTTCTTAATTAAAACTAGTGATGGAATGGCGCAATCTACCTCGTTTGAACACCACAGGTTACCAGGAGGCTGATGTTTGTCTGTGTAGGGCAGCCTGTATGCAGTACATAGTGGTGTGCTCTGACAGAGGGGGGCAGCCATTAGGGTGCCATTTCTGCTCCCCCCAATATCATCCTCCACCTGACATGCTGCCATATTATTCTGCCTCGTGATGGGACCAGCCTTGTCCAAGTTGAAAATCCTTGCGATTTCCATTGTATCTCCAGAGAACTCTGTCTCTACCCTCTGTCCATATACATCCTTTCTCTCTGTGACATTAGGCAGAACGTGTGGAGAAGGAAGAATGCCTTCTTAGAGTGGCTGAAGGGAAAACAAGCCATGTAAAACTCTTTGAAGAAGCTGCTGGCCAAGAAAGGGACCGGAAAGGTAATAATAAGATTGGGGTATGCGTGAGTACCTCCCTGTGCAATTATGTGCCGGTGCACGGCAAAGCATGTGAGGCCTGTATGAGTTCTCAAGTTATTTTCTTTTCCCTCTCTCTATTCTCTCTTTTTGTCCCTAGGCCCATCCGCCCAGAATACAAATCTCTCCAATGGGGATTGGATTCGTGGCGCGCGAACCATGATAAAGGCCTCCGACGCTTTGCGCTATTCTTGGAACGCCGGCCCTGGGACAGACTGGGGGGGCCAAAATCTGACGGAAACCGATCTCCAACCCGGTGGCCCAAAGGCACAGCCGCCTTTAGCAAAATGTGAAGACGAGCCCATGGAGGGGGAAAGGATAAAAGGAACGGATTCCCTCACCGGTGACCTCAGGATACAGCCGCACAGCACTGGGAAAGAGATGGTCGAAAGTTTGGAATTGCTGAACCGAGAAACAGGAACCACTGAACTCTGTGATATGTCACCCTCGTTTGGGCGTGTTGCGGGAAACGACCTTGATGCGCCAGCAGAACGCCCACAAGAAGCAAAAGACTCTAAAGTTGGCAGTAATGGCGTATGTGGAGAAGGGAGAGCTGTTGAGGACAGTTTTGACACCCTTGAGGCTAATCCTGTATTGGTGCCGTTTCCTTCATCCAGCTTGGAAGGTCCTTCTGAGGCAGAGCAGGCCACGGTTTTGACCTCTGGAAACAGCCCAGAGGCCAAAGAAGACACGGGAGGGTCTGCAGATGGGACGCTTCAACCGCTTGAAGGCCGCGCAAGGCCAACCGCCTCCCCACAAGAAGAGTTGGCCAAGCCAGATAGGCTTCCCCTTCGGAGTATGGTGGGTGAGAAGCCACTTCTCTCAGCAGAACTCAGCTGCCCTGTTAGCCAGGGGCAAAAAGAGGCCTTACGAAATCTGGCCGCCACAGGATCTGCCGAGTCTGCTTCAAAAAGTGGCCTGCCTGACAGGAACACTGGAGATCATTCGGGAAGTGTGAAAACGAGAGGCGAAGAAAGCAAAGCTCCGAACGAGATGGTCAAGACACTGTCCAGATCGGTTTCTGCCAAGCCAGTCAGGTTCACCATCGCTCCAGCCTGGCAGAGGTCTCTCTCGGGAGGTTCAAATTCCACCGATGGTTCCTGCCCTAGAAGCTCTCCGTCTTCTCCCATAAGATCAGAGTTGTTTGAAGGAATACCTCAGTGGGATTCCACCGGGCAGAGCAGCCCGGAAAGACTTGATCCGAGTCATAGGAGCCGGGTGTCCAATTTGAACTCTGCCAACGAGTGGCCAAATGAAGAAACGCAGGGCCACGAGAGCCCATTCGGCGTCAAGCTGAGGAGAACCTCCTCTTTACTGAGATACCAGATGGAACAGAAGCATCAAGAACCCCCAAAACAGTCTCCAGCAGGAGTTTCCAGAACGTCCTCGGTCTCTGTCAAAGCTGAGACAAAATCACCAGACTCTGGAGTGCCGCTTCAAAATCTTCCCAGCAGTGCTAAAGTTTTGGTTCCAAAACAGAGCTTCCAGGAGCAGAAAAAGCCCCTCAAGGCTAAATTGGATGAAGGGCCCCTCAAGCAGCCGATGGGCAGAGCGTCAGGTATGTCTGCTAGAGAGACAGGGTCGCTTAAAAGATTTGTGGCTACTTGATGGAAGTACCTGGGCTTTGAGTAGTGGAGCAAGTACAGTGGTGCCTCGCTTGACGATGATAATCCATTCCAGTGAAATCACTGTAGAGCGAAATCGTCGTCGATCGAAAGTAAAAAACCCATTAGAAGGCATTAAAAACTGGTTAATGTGTTCTAATGGGGGAAATGCCTCATTGTCCAGCAAAGATCCTCCATAGGGCGGCCATTTTCCGGTGCCTGTAAAGTGAAGAATCTGTCCTAAACACAGCGAGGAGCCATTTTGCACAGTGGGGAGTCATTTTGCGACCTGCCGATCAGCTGTTTTAAAACCATTGTTAAGTGAAAATTCGGTTCCCGAAGCAGGGAACTGATTGTCATAAAGCGAAAACCCCCATAGGAATCATCGTTTGGCAATCGCGCGATTGCAAAAAAAAAACCTCATTGTAAAGCGGATTCATCGTCAGGCGGGGTAATCGTCAAGCGAGGCACCACTGTAATCATTTTAGTTGGTTTTGTAATAAAGGGAAAATTAGAAAGAATAATGTAGCTCTAACAATGAAACAAACTTGTTTTTATATTTCATAAGCTTTTGTGTGTTCAAGAACATTTCTTCCGATGAATGGAGGGAGAGACAGACCAGACACACAATCATTTTGCTCATCAGAAGAAGTCTTCTTGGACACACGAAAGCTTATGAAAAATAAAAACTAGTTCGTTTCATCATTAGTGCTACATCCCTGTTTCTGGTTTCCAGATACACTAGGAATTGGTTTTCCTATTCACAAAATGAAGGCACAAGTAAATTAAAGTATCATTGTGCCATTTTTTTTCTGGGGGATCACGTCACGTCTTCTGGTGTGTCCCTGTCATTTACAGACATGGCTTCCAAAAAAAAAAAAAAGCTTGTAAAGGAATCTCACCTGGCTGGAGAACTGCTCTGTGCTCTCCCTCCTGCTTTGTTGAGGGTGTAGAGGTGAGAACCAGGTGGAGGGAAGAATAGGCTTTGTGCTACCATCAACATTTCCCCCACTGCATGTGTGTTGAATCCCTTTTTTTCAGAGCATATCCCAGTTCCGCCTTTGGAAACACCGCCTTCGGAGCCAGCCTGGATTTCCGTGGCGAAGATAAAACGGAGAGGATTCCAGAGCCACCCTTTTGCCAAAGGAGAGAAGAAGGAGGAAAAGACGTCATCCAAAGCGGAACAACCAGGGGAGAAGCGCATCAGGATTTCTCAACAGGAAAAGGTACGGCCAGATTAACCCTGGACGATGTCCTTTGCCCTCTCTTGGAGCAGTGGAATGCAAACAGGAATAGAGGAAGCAGCTACACAGGAAGCTGAATCATCTGTCTGTCTAGACCCGTTTTCTCTACACTGAAATATGACGGCTCCTTGTGTTTTCCTGGATCATCCACTAACTTGAATGGTGTATTAACTCAGGAAGCCGGGGGCTGGAATTCGGGTTTTTCTCCCTTGAAAGTTGGTTCTCCACCATGATGGATCTTGTGGAACCAAAAGGAAAGCAAGCCCTTCAAATGTAGCTTTTCATTGACTGAGGATTTCAAAGGAAGCAGCAAACGACGTTCATGTTGTTTAGATGTGAACTCTGGGCTTGTGCATGGAGTGGCTTTCAGCACAAAATTCTGGATTCCATAGATATACCTCACTGCCGGAATCTAGTAGTAAGTCACAACGAGAGTCGGCCTCTTGAATCAGTAGTGATTTGGTGAGTTGACTCCTCTGCATGTTCAGTTGATTCAATGAGTCTACTACGGGGTGACTTCCTACTAGATTTTAGTGACTACGGTGAGACCTTCCTACTAGACTGTGCCCTGCCTTACCATTCTGAAGTCAAGGCAGTGAGAGAAGTAGAGGCTACAGGTGCCGAAGGAGGGGGTGGAATCCACAGGAGGTGGGGAGATTCAAGCAAGGAGCGGGGTTTGGTGAGGGAGCAGGGTTTCTTGGCTTGTGGACCACATTAGCTTTAAGGGACCTTCTTTATCTTATAGATTTGTGTAGCTGGGTCTACCCCAGCCTCTTGTGGAAGAAAAGGAGTGGACCATGTCTAAGGTCTGTACTATATGTTATGGACAAACCATGGTTAGAAAAAGGAGTTCCTTAATGGTAGAAAGGGAAGCATGACCACAACAGCAGCTTTTCTCCCCTCCTGGCCCCTATAACAGTGGTCCCCAACCTTGGGCCTCCAGATGTTCCTGGACTACAACTCCCAGAAGCCTTCACCACCACCTCTGCTGGCCAGGATTTCTGGGAGCTGAAGTCCAAGAACATCTGGAGGCCCAAGATTGGGGACCACTGCCCTATAACACTGCTTGCTTTGTTTTCTGATTGGTCTCCAGGAGTGGCTGATTTATTTGCAGGTCTGATTTTTTTTCCCACGTGAAGATCAGTGAGAGTTGCAGGTACGACTGTGAAAGAGGGACAAGAGTCTTAGGATGGATGAAAAATGTAGGTTTATTGCACTGTAAACCATGAGAGGTATGAGTCAAAATAACTTGGAAACTGTAAAGCTAGAAATAGAATGCAAAAACATTGGAGTGCCTTGGGGGGTCAGTGAACGAAAGTGGACCGGAATGGGATATTTCCAGTCAGACGCCAACGAAGTGTTCTGTTCTGGAAATGACACACTCAGAAGAAGTGAAGTGGCTCTAGTACTGAGGCAAAATGTAGGACAGATAGTTAGGGGGAAAGGTGACAGAAACAGGGTCAGAACCCTAAATTCAGCTTTTTAGCAGGTGTCATATAGAGACAAAGAGAACTACATTAACCAGTGCAAAGAAATAGAAGAGAACAACAAAGGAGAGAAAACAACAACCTCTTCTCTCTTCCGGAAGATCCAAGAAATTAAAGGGAAATGTCAGCCTAGATTAGGAATGGTCAAAGACCAACAGGGAAGCACACAATCTGACTAGGAGAAAATAAAGAGAAGGTGGAAACAGTACACTGAAGACCTATACAGAAGAGATAAAAGGATGACAAACTCCTTTGAAGAAGAATTCTATGATCTAGGAAAAAAAATCCATCAAGTGTAAGGATGTGTCACTGGAGACCAGGACCATGGTTATCCACCCTCTTATACGAGTATTTCTGATCACCATGGATGTGTGTGAAAGCTGGACAGTAAAGAAAGATTACTGGGAAAAACTCTTTTTTTGAAATGCGGTGCAGAAGAAGAAGCTTGTAAATGCCCTGCACTACCAGAACATTGAACAAGTGGGGTCCAGAGCAGCATTTTCAGCCTGAACTCTCTCTGGAGGCAAAACTAATGAAATGGAGGTTTTTCACACTTTGGGCTCATTAGGAGAAGGCAGGATTCTTTGTGAAAGAAAGATGGAAAGCATCAGGAAAAGAGGAGGACCAAATACAAGACAGATTGATGGAACTCACAAGCTTCAGTCTACAAGAGCGGAGCAGGGCTGTTGAGGACGGGACCTTTTGGAGATGGCTCGTCCACAGGGTGTGCTGTCAGTCAGAGGTGACACGACAGCAGGTAACAACAAAAAAATCCTGCCTCAAAGTGTAATACATCTGCATTTTTAATAGACTCTTTTCTGTGTTTCATAACTGGATTTACTGGATCTGACAAGTGGCTTTTGTCTTTTGGATTGTGTGTTAGGAACACGAATTGTTTGTCAAGTGTGATTTTTCTCTTAGCGCACCTGGTCTCGCCTATATAACTGTTTTCTTTTCTTTATAGCAGGCGACTCTTACTGGTGAGAAGCTCTTAAAGAAGACGAGCACCGACCAGGGGTGTGTGCTTGAGACTGGAGTGCTGCCAAAGATAACAGTATCGGCAACAAAAGGTATTAAAACTGAAAAGGGAAAAGGGATTTACTGCGATACCGGCCTGCTGAGACAAAATCTGCAGCAGCGTTTGACACGTGTTGTGTAATCCCCTGCACTGACCAGGTGCAGTCAGATGGCGCAAAAGGTGTGCCTCTGATCCCACCAGAAGGGGTCGCTTTGACAGGGGCAATCTCCCTTAAAACAGCTCTTCTGTCTTTTGGGGGGAATGGATTCAGCCCAGCGCCCCCCTCCCCAAAGTAGTCGCCTTTCTGCTGGGCCAAAAAGGTCCAGCTTAGGCACATCTCAGGTCAGGTTGGAGCACCGTTCCCTGTACAATTGTGCGATCGCTTGTCCTGGACCAGTGGGTCCAAAATGTGAGCGAAATGTCTGTGTGAGATCGCACTGTCATGAAGAGTGCACTTAGCCAGGGCACATGGTTTTCTTTTGGAAAGTAAATAGTTTATTCAGTGGAATAAAGATTTTTCTGCTTCTGTGCATTCTGGAGAAACATTGTTGAAATTGGGGAAACCCATCATAGATACATGGAATTAACCAGGGCCAAGAACTAACAGGTTACATATAATGAGTTACTTTTTTTGCGAATATATCAGACAAAAACACACACAAACAAGAAAGAATGACACAATGCATCTTGAAGACTAACTGACATGTTTGAATACAACTTCTTGTGGATCAAGGCTGCTTACTCAGTCATCAGAGTGAGACTAGATGACTGTCATATTTATACATGGCCCAATGACCAGGTGGGGATACAGATAATGGACAAAGTGACAACGTTAGTAAATGAAAAGGCAGGCTACCAGGGTGTCAATTGGCAAACTGTGAGAATCAGAGTAGCATTTCAACCTTGGGGCTCCAAATGTTCTTGGACTACAACTCCCAGAAGCCTTCACCACCACCTCTGCTGGCCAGGATTTCTGGGAGTTGAAGTCCAAGAACATCTGGTCTGCCAAGGTTGAGGACCACTGACTTAGAAGACGAGATGGTCGGACAGGGTCATCGAAGCGACCAACATGAATTTGACCCAATTCTGGGAGGCAGTGGAAGACAGGAGGGCCTGGCGTGCTCTGGTCCATGGGGTCACAAAGAGTCGGACACGGCTTAATGACTAAACAACAAAAAGGACTTATAGACCCTTGGTTGATATTCAGTCTTTTTAAATGGGTCTCCAGCATCTGTCTGTTCCTTATCTCGGCTGTTTCTCTTTGAAACTTTGTTTTGTACAAAGCGACAATGGTTTGTGAGTAAAGGAATTTTTTTTCTACAAATGAGGCAGAATCAGATTTCAAAAGTAGTGTAACCAATGTAAACAAACTTTATTCATGTAATGGGAACTGCTCCTAACATCTTTTGAAAGTTACTTTTAAAATGTGTTGCGTTAAATATGTATAGATGAGTAAAAGCAAGCAAAACAAAGAAACAAAAACCTATGGAATAATAAGTAGCAGGAATAATTTAAAAAAACTTTCTAAGCATTGGAATTCAACTCTAGATATATTCCTATCATGTTGAAATGGTTATGAATTACTGTTTTGAATCTTTTCGTACATTTGTATATATGGATTGGTTTGTCCAGAAGTTTAGAAAATTCCTTTTTTTGAACTACACAATTCCCAGGATTTACCCCCTATCCCCATCCCCAGCATCATTAGTTCTGCGAGCTATTGCTCAAAACTTTTCTCAGGCTCTGCATGTTGCTTTGAAAGTATCAAAGATGATTATTTAGACTCCTGTGCCTCTGTTTTTTCTGCTTACTCTCCTCCTTTGGCTCTCTTTAGCACCGCTTGTCCGAACGGCCGCTCAAGAAGCCCCTCTGCTGGAAAAGGAAATGCGATCATTGCCCAGCCTATCTCTGTCCTCCTGCAGCCCGACAGAACCACCCTGGCTTTCTCTGGCCAAGAAAAAAGCGAAAGCATGGAGCGAAATGCCCCAAATTGTTCAATAGACATTATCCGATACTTGCCAATGGCTTGTTTTAATAATATATACTAACATCTTCACTGTGAGCATTTTAGGCGTTCCTGCTGAGGAACTGAACGGTTTTCAGATGGTGGTAGAAAGAGAAGGAACCAATTTCTAACTCTTTCAAGAAGAAATTTCTACTCAACACATAACCTGGCCTAAAAGTTGGGATTAATACACTGGGTGCTTTTGGCTGGAGGGACTCCAGAAGATGTCCGCCATACTTTGTGTAAGGTCAGAGACTCTCTTGAGAAAGACCTCAAAGGCTATCCTCATCCTTTTTCCTTCCAAAGACAGTATTCTGAGACACCGTAGATAGTATTTCTGCTAACAGCTTGCACTGGAGTTGTTTTTTAACTTCCCATTTCCTGTGAAACTTGGATTGATAGTGGCTGAAGACAAGATGGGATGGTGGCTGGTTTTTGTTGTTGTTGTTTCTCCAAATTTTTGTTCCTCACATCAAGCACAATATTGGTGCCAGAGTTAGTAGCTGTTATTCACATACTGGATGCTGAGCACTGGTCACTAAATCTCAGGTCTTCTGTAACTTCTGATGTACAGGAACAGGAGCACAAGGGAATCTGTTAGGTTGATGAATTTAGCTCAGACGTTCTCAGCCTTTGGTTCTCCAGATGTTTGGGCCTTCAACTCCATGAATTCTTGAACGCTGGCCATGACCAGCATGTCTTCTTGAAGCAGAAGTTTACAGTGTACTACTTAGAGCAGGAATACAGAACTTGCAGTGCCCCAAATGTTGCTCCTATACCCTTGGTCATGTTGGCCAAGGCTCAACACGGGGGAAGTCCCAAACTTTTGGGAAGCCAGAAATTCCCTTCCTCGGCTACAATCTGGAAATGGTTTGATGAATGGTTGCTCATTATGGGGTGTAAGAACTCAACCGTTTTCAGCTGCTTTTCTTGCCTCAGTACTTCCAATAATTTGGGCAGATCTGATGCAGAACTAGGCTGTCTCCCTTCATGCACGCCATTGAGACCGTGTTTATTTTTTTGGTCTCGGGTTTCCTACCTTCGTCTTGGACTCAGCCTGAGCACTGGAGATTTGGCTAGGCCAGTCCTCTTTGCAGTAACTCATTGACACAGTTGTAGGACTACAGTACCGAGCAGCCCCATCCAGGAAAGCCAATGGTGAAAAGGAGCATGGGAGTTGTAGCTGGCTCGCTAGTGGCTCTCTGCCTTGGGCTAAACCAGCAGGTCAGGTTGAATGGCTTTTGTAGAGCTGAGGCATACAAATCTTAAACCAGGTGTGCTGTCTTAATGGCACCCTTAAGAGAGGTGGTGGACGTGCGTGCTGGCAGAGTGCGCCATTCCGATGCAAACGACTGCACCAAGGGGATCTGAAGATGCTTCTATTTACAGCTGAGGAAAATGGACAGCATTGTCTAATCCTGGTTATATTTCTGCTCCCTGACACAAGAAAGAAGCAACAAAACCTTTACTTGGATTAACTCTTTCCTCCCCTCCCCCCATTGATGTTCCCTCCTTAGTATCAGTTGGTTTGGTTTGCCCTCCTAACTCCTTCCTCCTCCAAGAAGGGACACCAAAGGGGTGTGTATGTGCACAATTCTTGGTTTCTGTTTTTATCCTCCCCCCATTGATGGTCCTTCCTTAGCATCAGTTGGTTTGGTTTGCCTTCCTAACTCCTTCCTCCTCCAAGAAAGGACACCAAAGGGGTGTGTGTGTGCACAATTCTTGGTTTCTGTTTTTATCGTGTCCCCAAATCACTTTTCAGTGTATGGTTTGTACATATGTTTTTGTAATCCTTGCATTTCTGGACCATCCTTTCTTTTCTTTTCTTTTTTGTATTTTGTTCCTATATATTTTTGTTTATTATTAAATGCTATTGTTATAATGGACTTAGTTATGTTTTAGCAGTGCAGGTCTGCATTTCCCCCACCCTTTTATTTTTTAAAAAAAAGCCTCCCACGGTCCTCATTGACATCAACAAATATATTTATCAAACAAAAACCAAAGTAAAACGGGGGGGAACCCCCACCAAGGGACCAAAACATTGTAGCACTTTAAAGACTGTGTGCTATATTTCAGTGTGGACTTGACTGCAACTAACTCCATCGAAGAAGCTAAACCTGTCCCCCAGCAGCAGCCATGAGACTTTGGGATTTTAATAAAAGCTTATAATTTTGGAACTACTCTCAAGAACTTGGTGCACAGCCTGAGGAAGATGAGTTAGCATTGAAAGCTCCCTGTTCATTTCTTGTTTTTTTTTTTTTTAGTGGTCCAATAAAGGTATCACCTGTTCCTGCATTTGTATTGTTTCAGGGACCGAGCGGCCTTTTTTTTCTTTCTTTTTAATCCACAAAAGCTCACATTAAAAGTTTCAGGGACCGAGCGGCCTTTTTTTTCCTTTTTAATCCACAAAAGCTCACATTAAAATATAGTAGATTGTTTTCGAAGTGCCACAATTGTTTTGGTCCCTTGTGGGTTTTGTTTGTTTTGCTTGGGTTCTTGTTCTTTCTTTCTTTCTTTCTTTCTTTCTTTCTTTCTTTCTTTCTTTCTTTCTTTCTTTCTTTCTTTGGTCTGATAAACTTGCACAGATTAACGTGGCTACTCCTTTGAAAACTACAACACGTTTTGTTGCCAGCAGAGGGCGAGAGAAGCTTTTTGAAGAAAATAAATGGGCAGCCTATGCGTTACCACTCTGCCCTGGTTGCTGAGTGGGTCCTCTTTTAAAGTTTCCCCCCTTTAGAATGGCAGGGAGATACGTCACCCTCAGGACCCAAAGTATGGGAACAGGCCTGGTTGTTTGCCAAGCAAATCTGTATCTGGTGCTAAACACATCCCTTGCGGTCACCTCCATAAAAATAAATACATGTCTAGACTCAACTTTGTTTATTTGTCAGCAGTCCTCGGACCATCTGAAAGCAAAAATGTAATGAACTATATATAAAGCCACCTTAACAAGTCATACAAGCTCAGACCCAAACCATCAAACCTGATTGTGTGTACAAAATTCGTGATGCATGTAAATGCTTGTGTGCAAATTCGGGGCCTGCTTTTATCCGTCTTGGCAAACGGTTCCTAAAACCTTTGCCAGTCATCTTGGGATTTCTCCAGGACCGGACAGATCTGGGAAATCCTAAATCAGTCTTGCAATTCCATCACTCTGACCCATTAAGGGTCAGCTCCAGGGTTAGGGATGTGGAAGACAGTCATTGCCCAAAGGGAAATACAGTGCACCTTACGGATTCTGTTTGCTTTCCATGTGGATCAGCGGACCCAGGGAGTCACTGTGGGACCTTCTACCTGCCAAGCAGGTGCTCTGCCTCTGAGCTACTGTACTGGTCCCAGTTCATTAAGCATCTTCAAGTTCATTCTGATTTAGGGGTGACCTCTTCCAGGGTTTTCTAGGTACAGAGTACTTACCCCAGTTCGTTAAGCATCTTCAAGTTCATTCTGATTTGGGGGTGACCTCTTCCAGGTACAGAGTACTTAGAAGTGGTTTGCCATTTCTTTTTCTTGGAGGTGGGGGTGGTCTGGGACTGTGCAGCTTGGCCCGAAGTGGCTTGCCATTCCTTTCTCTTAGAGGTGGGGTGGTCTGGGACTGTGCAGCTTGGCCCAGGTTAAACAGGCTGGCTTTTTTCTCCTAGAAAGCCCATTAGGGAATAAAATCCCCAGCTCTAGTTTCATCGCCTGGTTCCCAACTCACTGAGCTATACAGCCAGCTCCTGTTGCCAGTTACTCGGCCACAGCCCTCAACAGGATAGGGATAGGGATTCAAGAGGCGGGTGGGCTTTGAGCTTGCACTTCAAAACAATACAGAGCGGAGTGTGGAAAAACTAAATTTTGGCCCTACGATCGGTCTCCTCCACCACCTCCGCCCCTAAGTACAGGAAGATGCTTGCAGACTAGAACATCAGCCTTCTTGTTACTAAACGAAGACCTTGTTGGGCTAAGTTTAAAGTAAAAAAAAACTTGCCACAGTTGCTGAAGGCAGTGAAACAAGATCAGATGAGAGACTGTTCAGAGGATCCGCATACAGTATATATGATTTGTGTAACTAGCGAGGAGTAGATTGCTGTTCCGTAGAAATAGCTTTCTTAGATTTTAACTCCTAAGAATGGCATTTAGACTTGGGGAACATCCCAATTATCTGCCTTGATGTGCCTATATCTCAACTTCAAGCTGCTGCTCTCCACCTATCTCGTCTCTCCCCCCCCCACTTTTGGCCATTGTATTCCCCCCCCAATCTCCCTGTTCACGGTCCTGCCCTTCTCAGCTTTGCCACGTGAGCCCAGAAGACCATGCCCGCACCTTTGGGCCCCCCAAAACAAAGCAGAAACAGCCCACTCAGCAGAGAAGCGAACATCATCCCCAGTCGTCTTGGTGCGTCCTGGATGGAGTGCGCTTTGTGTGGCAAGCTCGGACGACGGGCTTGCATAACGCTGGTTATAAAATCCCCCTATTTGGCCTTCAAAGATGAATGTGACCGGTATCAAATTACACATGTGAACACATGCTGGGCTGCGTGTGCTTCTTTTATGGGACCACCCCAAAGGCTGAATTTGGGGGGGCTTGGGAAGTGTGCTCTCGGCCCAGGGCTGACATAGCGCTGCTGCCTTAGGAAAGCAAGTGAGCTGCCAGGCCATGGAGAGGAGAGACTGGAGGACAGGTTTAGGGTCCGATATTTGGCCCTTCCAGCAAAGAAACTCAAGCATCAATCTGTACAATTTGAACCGACTGACGTGTTTGTTTTTCTCTTCTCCCTCTTGCAAAGCTTGTTAAAAGCTGATTTCTTGAGCTGGGGGGGGGAAGGGTGTGTGTCACGCACCTTTTTAACGTCATTCGCTCATCACTTCCTCTGACTTGTATGCTGCTTTTTCTAAGCCGCTGAGGGTGACAGAATGAACCCCCACATGCCCTCAGGCAGCAGGACATGTTGCACTGCTCCTGTTCACAGGGGATGCATCATTTGAACACAGAGCTTGCTATGACAAGTCTGGAGCTCTTACACTATATAGAGTGATTCCAAAGCTTTTTTATTTTGAGTCATGACCCATAATAGCCAAATAACTTGTGGCCATCTTTGCATAACAAAGCTTTTTTAATGGGGGTAAAGTCATCCCTTCTCAGAAGTTAAGATGCTTCTCCCTCACCCCACCCTGGCCCTGTTTCTCATACATGTTCATATTCGCCAACTTTAATATCCCACTCTGAATTAAGAAAGAAATCATTAAACAAGGGTTACAGCACATATAATTTGAGCCATGCCTCCCCAGAAAACACTGTCCGATCCCTTTGGGGGGGGGGTCATGTCATCCAGGTTGGGAAACATGGCTATCTGGTTTCTCATACAGACATTTGACTCGTTTATCTTGGTGATTTGTATGTTTGACTCTTTTTTTTAATAATTAAAAACATAAAAGTATTCATTTAAACCAGAGGTTTTAAAAGATTCCTTTTTGCCCTTCACGGTAGATTTGGAAGGAAATATTTCTGGCTCGTATTTTACCCTTTTATCTTCATCTTCGCTTTTCTTTACATCGTTCTTCTTCACCGGCATGTGGAAAAAAGAGATTAAATCCTTGAGCTATTGAAAGGATGGAGATGCTGAGAGAATATCTGTAGCTCAAAACCAAAGATGAGAACTGGCCTGAAAAAGAGAGAGAGAGAAGCAGCAGTAGCAGAAAACGGACTGTAACAAGCTTTAGGCCATAAAAGCGATCTGTTCAAAGGGAGCATGAACTAGTTAGAAGGAGTTCGTAAAGGGAAGTAGGTTAAATATGTACCTGCCGTGGTGATATAATGACCGCAACAGAGCAAACAAATTGGGAGTGGAAGCATTATGAAGGGAAATGAATACTGCAGTTGAACGTAATAATCAGGGCAGGGCACTATTAGACTTTGAATTAGCTCCAGCAGGTTCCTCTGGAAAAAGGTTTTGGTGAGAGCGAGAGAAAGTATAATTTGCTCTTTCATACAAATTCTGAAGACCTTGAATGATGGTGATGATGATGATGTGCCATCAAGTCAGTTCTGACTTACGTTGACCCTTTTCATGGTTTCCTAGGTAGAGAATGCTCAAGAAGTGGTTTACCAGATATCTTTCTTCTGGAGGCATCCTGGAACGGTGCACCTTGCCCAAGGCCACACAGTCTGGCTTAACTCCTGGGAGTCCTGGGGTGGGGGGTGTGGGGATCAGACTCCCAACCTCTGGCTCTGCAGCCAGAGACTTAGGTCCCTGAACTATCCAGCCAGCCCCCCCCAAAAAAACCTTCCCAACCTCTAGATTCTACAGGAACCACAGAGACTGGCGAAACGTCAGGAAGAACAACCTTCAGAGCACGGCCAAAGAACATGAAAAACCCACAACAACCTTTAGATCCTTTCCCGAATACGAAAAAGGAAAAACTGGAAAAGGAAAAGGAAAAAGGAAAAACTGGTGATGTTGGGGTGTTATTCCAGATGGACAGCTCCTAGTTCTGTCAATCACTAGGACTCGTTGTGATGACTATGCGTTATCTCCAGGTTTGGAGGCAACATGCATCTCAATACTAGTCGCCTGGGAACAGAAGCAGGAAATCCTTCTTGTGTTTATATCCTACCCATGGGCTTTTCCACA